AAGGCTCCTTCCGTGGGAATCGTGGGAAAGTCTGATTCGATGACCTTTCCCACGGTCTGACAGTCGGCGCTCTGGGAAAAATGCCTAAGGGCACGCTATAACTGTAAAGTGTTCTTTGTGGCGCCAAATGGTTCAGCGGATTCGGTGGAAACAGCCGTGGCGCCAAATTGGCGCCAAATGGCACCAGCATCAAAAATGAATGTCATATTCGTAATCAGGGCATCGAATTACCCCTATAGGCAAAGTTTCGACGAAAAATAAAATTTTGAGATTTTGGGGCAGTAATAGTGGAATAGTGCCCAGCTTTTTGTCACTAGACCATTTTCTGTGAGTAGAACCATCGTAGGCATCAATTCACCACCACAGTTTGCTGAAAAAAATTGAATTTTGTGAAATTGAAAATTGAAATTGAAATTTGTGGGGCAGAGAAATGCTAATCACCAGAACTCTATAGTTTTTCAATTAACATGTAGCATTTTTGTTATTACACTCGAAAGTGCCCCAAAAAAGTTTCATTGCTGTTTTCAGATAAATTCGCTTCAACAGCAGTATAGCACGAACTGCATTAAAGTGGCGTGACTCAATTGTTTTTGCATTGCGCTACAATTTCATCTTCGGCAAAAAAAATAAGACGTGATAATGAGAAACACCTCAATAATAAAGCCAATTGATCGAAAATTCCATATGGAAATGAAGGCCGCGGCTGTGCAAGACTTGCTAGTTGCCAACGCTACAGTTGCAAAAATGATATCTAAAACGATGTGGAATTGATTACACTCTCGATCAAACAGTCATCGCCATTTGAGCAGCTTTAGGCTCTTGCACAGATACATTAGGTTTCTGCGGCAAAAACAACTCGAAAGAACAAGGTGGTGCTCCGGAAAAAGTTTAAATTCATCTGCGATTCTTTTCCTTTTTCGCTCCCTAATTGTTTGCATAATTTCAGTGAGTTGTTGTGGTTCACCTTCTCCAGATACATAGATTTGTTATTTTGATTTATTTTAGTACTTATGTGTTTCTCCCATTAAGTGAAGTTTTTTAGCTTGTGCAGTCAGCAAGGACAGAAAGCGACCTTCGATTTTTACAGCGCGAAACATTTTTCGTTATGAGAACACCGGGTTCACTCGTGATCTGTGGTGGACCTGGGGTTCCCACAACGAAAAGTTGCACAAATCTCAGAAGTCGCATTCTGTCCTAGCGAACAACGCTCTTTCCAGCGAAATATATAAGTAATTATAGAACGAGGTTATGATATGCATGGAAGCTATGGCTACTTGTCTGGATTTGTTACTGAAACGAACGGGCAATGAACCGATTCCAGAGCCGATAGTTGGGAAAATGTCCTGTGAGCGTAGTAAGAGCTCTCGACTACCTCAAAGAAAACCATGTAAGTCTGGATACACTTTATCGAATTGATTTGATCTTTTCTTTCTTTTTTCTCTCCAATGCTTAACTTACCCTTCTCAGTAACGAGGTACTGGTGATTTGATTCATGCATAGGCGTTCAAACTGGTTTTAATTGCTAAAGGGGGGGGGGTACTATAAGTTCTGTTATGTGATGGTTTAGGCTCTTTGAGAACCAATTTGATAGATGCCTTATAGAAGTCGAGGATGTCCAAAACTGCGCACTAATTCTCCACTTTGAAAGGTCTTCCAAATAGCTCAGTCGTTTTTCACACTGTATGCTTCAATGTTATTCAGTGGTTTCCCTTATTTCTCATCCGCTTAAATGGGAAATAATTTAATGTACGAGCTGATTGCCTAACTCTCATATAACGTGGCATACTTGTGGGTTCGTATTGGCTTGGGTTTGGCTCATGTAGCACAGACAATTTTTTACAGTTGCGCTTCATTTTTTGCTCATATTGGCTCACTCATTATTTGAGCTTGGAGCCAGTATGAGCAAAACGTTCGTGGCTGTCATGATTAGCGTCATATCGGTAAATTTTGGTGAGTGGAAAATTTCTTTCTTATAAATACGACCCAAGTTGACACTGTGTTGAAGAGAATCTCCAAATGGTCATTGATTGTTACGGAACATACGCCCACGCCTTTTCTCTCCCTTTTGTTGAGGTCCGGTTTCTTTTCAATCCGTTGGAGTTTCATAAATTAATAGATAATACCTCGTGTTAATGAAGCTAAATACATCATGAATAAGAAGGGTGATAGGGCAGGAAACAGCGAAAATGCGCGTATGGAGACAATTACGTTGACTTCATTAATCTCCTCAGGATGTGAGCAGCTTTACTTCTTCCATCATTGTAATTTGTGCTTTGGCATATTTTCTTTGGAAACTGCCTTGTTTACCGTCGGCGAGTTCTGGCGACCGTTTAGCAAATAGTAATGCTGCAAACCAAACGGCAGAGTTCAAAAGACGAAACGGTGCGCCGGTAGCTTAACTTGGGGCCGTATCCTATCCTTCCCCTATTGGGACGCATCCTCCGCCACTGATTTTAGCTTCAGTCTTTCTTTGTTCTGGGGGGGGGGGGGGAGAAGGGAAAGGGAAGAGAGGGGAGGAACGTGGTTGCCCTCATGGGACCTGCCAATGAACGCATGGTGTTGTAGCTACTCCTCCCTGTTGAGGCACTCTTTTCTCTGATGGGTCGCGCGTCTAGAGTCTAAAGCAGTGTATGGCTGGTTCCTATGACGCAACCCTGTCTTCCCCAACCACCGGATAGAATCAGTGATGGGGGACGCGTTACCCCGGGGGAGGGTAGGATGCGGCCCTTGTAGCGCACTTGCGCAGTAACAGAGAGGGCGAGTTCGGTTTGCCGCGTGGGGCCTAAGTTTTATTCATCATCCAGCATTCTTGTGTTTAGACACTTGTGTAAGAGTCGCTAATCTCGTAATTCCCTACAGAACGTCATACATCGTGATGTCAAACCGTCAAACATTTTGCTAGATTGGAATGGCGTTGTGAAACTGTGCGGTTCCGGAATTAGCGGATTCCTTATCGAAAGCCGTGCAAAGTCGAAGCTTGCTGGTTGCACCATACATGACCCCAGAGAGAGTACGCTCCACGGTAAGCAAGCATTTTCAAATAGAAATATTTATAGATTTCATCAGTCTTCTTTAAGGAAAATACTCCGTATGACATCAGAAGCGATGTATGGTCTCTAGGAATAACCCTAGTTGAGCTTGCAACCGGCCGATTTCCATATGAGGGTAGTGATTTCCAGATCATCACTTCCATACTCGAACTACCTAGTCCTTCGCTCAAGGTTTCGGTAAGGTTAAGATCGTTCTTCCATGCATGAAATACCCATAATTTCTACCAAGATTTGCGATGAGTTTTTTTTAGGATGGGTTTTCCGAAGAAGTTTTGCGCTCTGGTTGACTTATGCCTGAGGAGGGATGTCGAGGAGCGGCCCCGATACGCTACCATTCTCGTACGGTTTACTTTACTTTTTCGAACATAATTATTGAACACATTGCCGACGGCGCGTTCCGGATTTTTGCCCGCTTGGCACAGGCGCGACATTGCAGGCCCGGCCAACTCACCTCAGATTCGTGGATTTTGAGGGCTACAGATGCAGGAAGAACTTTTTCAATTGCCGATGCGTAGAACTTATCCGTGGGTAAAGCAGCAGAATTCCAGTTGGGAGGAAGTAATGGCGAAGGAGGAGCCAATTGTATTGCTTACGCTGTAGAGTACTTTCAAAGTGTCTTTAAACTGGTTGTTCTATAAAAAAAAACAAATATTTTGCGATCCGCATAGGTCTGTATTTGCTTTCCACCGCTCTTTTTTATTGACATGCTCATGAGACTAAAAAAGCAGGGAATGAATTGAACCAAAAATATCGTAAGACATGAAAAACCTTAAATTTTTTTTGAAAAACCTCTGCCTCTTCCTAAGCATATTTAACCATATTTCGAATCAGGTCGTTTATTGTTATGTCATGGTGTGATAAATAAAATAAATGAATCCAACTTGGGAAGAAGTTGCGCAAGCGCGAGGTGAGGCATGGCGTGGGTATGCCTCGCGATCGCGTCACTCCCCCACGCGGTCTGCAAAGTGTGACCCGCAACCGCGTCGCGCTATCAATGCGTTAATAATCTTTGTTTTAGTTTCTTAGCGATAGTGATTGTTTATGAGAATTTAGCGACATCGCTTCATTGTGAGGAACGATTTGGCGGACACGGACGTTTCGGAATGGTTTGGGAACATTATGACCTGATCTCGCCGAATCATTTGCAATTCATTCGAAGTGCCTTGGAAGCGAAGATTTTCGTTCCCATACTGTTGAATGTAAAGTACTGGTTCACGGGTATGTATCTTTTCCTTCTTCTGGTAGATAATTACGTATGACTGTTTATGAGAGGATAAAAAGGTACTCAATTATGGAATGTCCCTCGCAGTATACTTCCATTCAAAATCGTAGTGACTTCTTGAATGCGGTATGGCCTAAGTGACTTGTGGGGGTCACCCGATGTACAAACCATTGTTTTTTTACCCCTTCATCTCAGAACGAGTTGAAGGCTCGTTCATTAGAACGATAAGATTTGTCAATGTCTCAACTTGAGGAAGTATTCCACGATGGAAATCGTAGAAGAGGGATATACCCAGTCGAAAGGTAGGCGCATCATGTAAAGGTGCGATAGGCATTCTGCAGCAAAGGGTATGCCCAAGCGACCTCACAGGGCCGTACCCGCTCCGCTCGCGCCTTTATCCACCCAACGGCTGGTTTACCCCTCACTCTCGGACTCTAGTCGCGGACTCTAGCAGAGACGCAGAGCAGAGCGCTCACACGGGTTACATCAGCACCGATGTTATTGCGAAAATCAACGAGCAGAGAAGGGGTTCCTCCATTCCTTGGGCTCCGCCTCGATTTCCAATGGGCTGTCTTTTCACAGTGAACTCCGCCAGTAATCAGTGTCACCCCCAGGTTCAGCAGAAGCATATAAGCGGTCGACTTACTGGACAGGCTCCTGATGCTTTGTCCTCTCTCAGACATCCTGATGCTTCTGTCCCGGTGTGGTGAAACTCCAGTTCGGGGGGGCCACTCCAGTGCTATCTTATCCGTAGTACTAACGAGTGGTACTTTGGGCTATCCAACACCATGGATAAGATATCAAGTAAACGATTAATTTCGAGCGTACTTTCGATAAGGACCGGTAAATGTTGTCCATCACACATTCTGCCCACCTCCTATACAATTTTCTGCACCAGGTCATCCACCCTGGAGCTCCTCCACCCTTGGCCCTAGAAAGAGGTATCCATTCTCCGGTCCAGGACCGTTCCCTTGGACCATGGCAGGCGGAAAGGTTAAAGCATCTCACGGCTTTTTTCCCATTACACCGTTACTTATCAAAAGTATACTCTGAATGAGTTGGTTACGTATCATGAGCGCTGTCATCCTTATCTCGAGTATTGGAGAAACAATGGAGTGGCCCCCCCGAACTGGAGTTTCACCGTTCGTCCCTCTTCCAATATGGCAGAGCTAAAAACCATGCCGAAATCTTTGGAATCTGATAAATCCATTGTGATCTGTGAATATCCTTAGAGTTAGCGGTACCCTTAACCGAATTCTGAGCATCATTAACATTAAGAATAAGACGTCATGCACCGTTAAGGCTATCTCTTAGGGTGACAGGACTTTTCCAAGAAATAGATTCATTTGAAGGATACCGTTGATAAGGACGGCTGAGGTGCCTAAATCTTATGCATCCTCTCCACACTAGCAAATCACTTTTTGCCCGGTTTCCATGGAGTTAGGGTGAATGATTTTTGATATATTCTCTTGGAGAATTCTTAGCCATCCCTGGCAGGTTTTCAACTACAGTGAAGTGGCTTTTTTTAGGTCAAGATCATTTCCAAACACTACTGTTCAGCAATTCAATGCGTTATCATCTTACGCTGATGCTTCGACTGACGTCTTACCACACTTTACGGCTATATGTCGATATCTGGCGTATAAATGTTGATGCTCGCGCAAACGATCTCATGTAATACCTGTTCGAAGCATTTTTACTTCAGCCGGAACAACCACTACAAGTAGATTGATGTCGTGTTATCCAGAATAAGTGGCTTTTTAGAGTAATGTTGTTGATCCTAGATAAAAATTGTATTTGAAAAATGTAGTTAACATGGCACATGCATCACCAGGTGTGGGTCGCTAGGAGAGTGCGCAAAGCCTTCGCTGTGGGATCCCCAGGTCCACTAATTATGTGGGGCAGGGTGAATAACGGTCGAGGAATTCCTCGACCATGGCTCTCTACTGTGCGAGAGTAGTGTCGAGAGTGAATGTACGCGCGGAGAGCACAGACGGCTCGCGGGTGGCGAGAGTGAGCATCCGCGTGGGAGAGCGTGAAAGAAATCCTCGACGAGCCGTTGTCGTTTCCTCAAGCGATTTTCACCCTGATGTGGGGGTGGACCTGGAGTTCCCGCAGCGTCGCGTTGCAAAAAGCGAAAAGTCGCATTCTGTCCTGGCGACCCACACGCTACATCATCCTAACATATACCAGTTGAAGGAGTGTCAGGTATTGATGAGTTTTTAGTTGTGGTGAGAAGAATGGCTTCAGAACTTCACCTATTTCTGTTGTTTGAACTTGGCCGATGTCAGACTTTGCGAATCGAGCGATTCGCTAGCGTCCGCGGTCGCGTTGCGGTACCAGCCAATTGAGTGATTCACTGGCCGCGACGCGACCGCAGACGCTAGCGAATCGCGCGATTCGCAAAGTCTGACATCGGCCTTAGGGAGAGAAAATCCCAAGAAATATTTCGTTTCGAGATGTACATCGGTAAATGCTGTGATTGGGAATTGCTATCCAGTGTCGTATAGAGAATTCGGCTGATTCTGCTCCATTGAAGAATAGCTGCAACATTCCTTCGAGCAAATATTGAGTCGATTTTGTCATTTGCATCTGAACTATCCCTTTTCCTGTTATCTGTAGAGATTATTACGACCAACGTTTTATGTCCGTCTATATGCGCTGAAAATACTATATATTCACCCGACAATAGAGCAAGTATAAAACAGGTGTCAGGCTCGCTGTTGCAATCGCATCTACAGTCGCGAGAGAGCCGGCCGCGATTCTGGCGCGATGCCAACAATCGCGAAGTTTGGCACTTATCCGATATAAAGTATTGCGGT